ATATATATATATATATAGACCCAATTGAAAATGAAACTGATCTCATAACAGACTAATAGACGCTATCAAAAACCAATTCGAGAGACTTGGAGTCTAGGGCTAGATCAAAACATACTGTATACATGTTTTACATTCAATTCTTTTATTAGTTGGCGACAAAACATTGACAAGGAAGCAAGTGACAAACCATGTGTAACAATTGAATGCTGTAAATATCCATCTACTCTGATGTTTCCTACAATGGTATTATTAACAAGACTTCCACGTCTGCAGGCTCAGTTCCACCATGTGAACAATACGCTGTGAGTTTTGATGATTTTAAGATAAATTAATTTAGAAGAGAACTTATTGCATATATAAATAGTTTCGGCAGAGACTTGGTAAACCGTAAAAAACTTGATGTAATCGTTCTGTGACTGCCTCGTCCCCAGGCGCATAAAAAAGATTTCACATACGAGTCACTATATAAAAGGTTTACATGAAGTAGTGCGGCATTATAGGCGCGCAAAGGGGGTGGGTATTAGTCCATAACCCCTGCGCTACTCGTTCGTCGCGATGCACTACTTCATGTACTGCCCGAAAGGAATGCAATGTGAAATGTCACATGACATTGACATCATTCTCAATTATGAACAACAAAAGAAAGCAAAGAAGAAGCGAAAAAGAAAACGAAAATCCAAACAAAATACGTCTTCAGAAGAATGTGGCGAAGATGCTACAGGTGCAGAAAAATGCGAAACAAATGGTAGTAGTATAGACGAGGCCATCCAAGACAAAAAGCCATCAGATAAATCTGACCAAACATTGCTTACAAAAGCAAGCACTAACACGGCTTCGGGAAATCATCGCGCTGGTTTCGATGCATTCATGACAGGGTTTTCTATGGCAACTTACTATCATCGGTTCAAAACGCAGGATGCGGCTACGTTTGCTGAAGGTATACCTGATTTTATAAATAAGTTAAACTTAAGCGGCAAGGATATACCGTTGAAGATTGAAAAGAGTCAGTACTGTAAGACGTCTGCCAATCATAATGAAACTTGGAAGAAAGTGATGTCAAGTACTTAGTTGCATGCAATTTTATGAACTCGTTATATTTGCTGGTGTTAGAAGCTAAAGTTGAACTTCCCTTTAACGGAAACCGAAGGAAAAGAGCATGGTATCGAATTTATCGATATTAGTCTCTGTCAAGTTTTACAGGGTGTCCCAAGAAAATGCATGAAAATATCTGTGTTCCAGATTTTTATGCAGCTAATTAACAGTTATTCCACGAACTCAAGTCGAATATGAGCTGATAGCCGATGAGGCGCGTGGCGCCGAATCGGCTATCGCTCATATTCGACGAGAGTGAGTGGAAATGTGGAATAACTATTTTATTATATACACAAGGTCTGAATTCACAGACTTTGCTTAATAATTATTATTATTTGTAGGCATCGAAAATTCAATCTGAGAGATTAATTTTGACAACAATATTATTAAAATTGTATGATCTATTATATAGACAAGCCCAAATAACCATTGAATTATATATCATAACGTAACCACTATACGATCGATTCTTGCATGCAGTGCAAAAATTCATCTATATATGTTTGGATTTTTGATGCATGCTGAATTAGCTTGGCAAAATTCTGGAACACTGCTATTGTACTTTTTGGGCACTACAGGGTGTATCAAAATAAACGCAATTCATCTTTTGTGCTTAATAACTTTCGAAATACTATTTCTAGTTAAACGCTTTTAGGCTTACTTCAAAGCCTGTTCTTTTCAAACAAACTATTATCCTTGTCTCCAATGCTAGTAATAATTGCACAGGAAAAGATTTAGTAAAACCTATCATTCTTAGTTGCTGTTTAATTATGCAAGTTTACTATGTTATTGTTTAGTCGGTTTAAATGTTAGAATTTTCTTCTTTAAACTTTAATGCTGTCGTCAATCGGTCACTACATCTGGAAAACCACGTAAGAACAAATTAAAAGTATTTTAAAAGAGACCAGGTTGTTTGAAAATCCTAAACGAATGCTAAAAATCGTCAAAACATTCTGGTGTCTGAGCCAGAATGTCATCGAATTGCGATGTAATGTAAACAGAAATTATGAGCAAGTTGATGTCAGTCAGCTTAGATGGTTCAAGCCAAAATTATATCGCATTTGAAGTTTCAAACTGAGTTAAAAATAGTGGAAGAAAAGCCGTTCTTATACTTATTGTTACAATCCATTTAATAAAATGCAGCATTTTTTTGTTTTAATGAAAAAATCAGTTATTTTCATGAGAACGATTTGTTATTCCATCTCAATTTTTTTAATCTCCAATCGCAATAACGTAAAGTATTATTACCCGCGAACCAATGAGTCAAATTTAAGAAACAACCCACTGTTAGAAAGCTGAATGGCTACGCTTTAAAATGAATGTAAACTTTAACGTTTTCGTCTATTATTTGTTTAGCAATTTACATTTCAGTCGAGGATTGCGCTTTTTTTGATACACCCTGTATATATGTGTGTGTGTGTGTGTGTGTTATACCCGACAACCACCGGCCAACGAACTGACAACCTTACGCTTCCGCATCATTTTACAGATCCTACCTGCAGAATTATCTGACACCATGACCTTACACCACGCAACAACCACCCGACTAACTGATAACCTTACACCATCTGACAGACCTAGCTTCCATGCAGAACCATCTGACGCAGTCTTACACGACACAGCAACCATGCCACCGAACAACCTGACATCATCTGACAGCCCTGTTTAAATGTAGCGCAGACCATCTTCATCACAATCTGAAAACAAGGGCTGTATTCGACATAACCCATGTTGCATGAAGGGCCAGCTCTTCATTTCTCCCTAATTTTTACTTTCTATGTAACTGTTCCAGGTACGATTTCAGCCCAGTTAACTACATGTGCTGGAAGTGATTCCGGTTTGAGAGCTCACTATGTATAATCCGGCCCATTAGAAAACCGCGCCGATCATGGTTATCTATCTATATCGTTTTTAATAACTGCGGAATCTTTCTGCGCTGATGTTGAGGGCTAACGCAACGGAGGACAAGATGTCAATTGTTGCTTGTTTTGTATATTTTCTTTACTTCTTTCTACCCATGTAGGAAAAGAATGGGGAAATGGGTAAGAACCATCTCAATAAGTATATTTTTGTAGCACTGGATTTTTTGCTGCCATGTTGGTGTAGAAAATGCACCAATACAGATTATTTTATTTAAAATATTTTTTATTCTTTTTGAATTTCGATTAAAACTCAGTTTTTGCCTTTAGCTGTGGGTATCAAAACAAGATTGTGTGTCCAAAGACCATGTTACACGAGGCGATTTTTGTTGCAACTTGCAACACAATTTCTGATATATCTAGAGTGATGTTATCTTAAAAGCGAGCTTAAAAGATTAACAGTGGTATTGCTGTCTCAACTTGTTAGCGGCCATTTTTTGGGCCGAGTAGATCAATAGATCTAAAAACGTATATTTGATCCCTCGGCCTCGTATGTTTGAACCAGCCCGCTTGGAGAATCCTTAGCTTCTTTCATTTGATGCTGATTGGAAATGCACCAAGGTATTTGCTGCCAAAGGCAGCCTCCTATTCTTGACGATGTGTTATAGCGCATTTGAATTTCCCGCCAACAGTTTTATATACTGAAGCGTAATCTCGATTTTGTGTCGGCAGTTGTGACGTCATAATTATTATGACGTTGCAGTAAGGAATTTACATTGGAGCATTATCATACCCTACGAGTTTACGATAGTAAATCGACGACTCCCAAATACTTTGTTTAGCGATCTGCGAACGACGTACCAAGAAAGGCGTTTAAAAAATATTTCGATCGGGTAGCAAATCTTCGAGTTAAACCCCTCGAGTTAAGCCCTTCGAGTTAAGCCCCGAACCACGCCCTTTCGAGTTAAGCCCCGACCACGCCCATATCACGCCCGTGCCACACCAATTTCCGTTGAGGGCTAAACTCGAAGTACCTAACTGGAGTTAGATACTTCGCGATAAGCCCTCCAGAAAATAGGGGCTTAACTCGAGCAAAGTCAAACATTTTGTTCTTCGAGTTAACCCCAACGTTTGAAAGATGTAAACGAGTTACGGTTAATCTGTTCCCAAACAAATTAAATTATCATTTGGATCGCGTTTCGTTCAATAATCATTCATGGTTCAATACGTTTTATTTGTTTTTTAGGTTTAGATATAGGTAATGAGAACCATATTGGTGTCTTAGTAATAAATTTATGCCACTGACAATAGTCCCTAAATGTGAGTTCAAAAGGTTTAGTGTGAAATATGATAGTGTGATGGCCTCGTGTTGGGGCGTTGTGAAAACCCGGAATGCCGAAATATGGCGGAATATTACGGAATATCACGGAATATCACGGATTATGCCGGAATATCACGACATTTTCCCGGAATATATCGGAACATCACAATATTTTCCAGTTTTTTCTGACATATCAAAAAAAGTTTTCCCGATATGTCCAATTTTCCTAAATATGAAAAAAATTTCCGGAAATGAAAAAATTTCCGGAAAATAACATAAATTCAAGTTTTGAAAAGTGCCCTTTGGGCAAAAAAAAGGCAATCCTTAACATTTTTCACGCAAGAAAAGGGCACTTTGCTCCCGGAAAAAGGGCACTTCGCAAAACTTGGAGGCCTGCCCCCCCCGGTTCCTACGCCCCTGGTTAAATTACTGGTTAAGGTTTATAAGACGGGACTAAGAAGTCCTGTCTTATAAACCTTAACCAATAATTTTTAACCAGGGGCGTAGGAACTGGCTCAAAGTTGCAAACTGGCTCAAAGTTGCCTTTATTTTAGCATTTGATTTTTGGATAAATGCTTGGTGGTATAAAATGGTCAATTTTAATTAACCAAATTTTGTGTAAAACACAGTTCTGAAGGCGTTCGAAAATAATGCTGACGTCAGCACTTTTGTTTTCCAAGACGCTGTAACTCAGGAGGAATTAATCATATTGGCTCAACATTTTTGGTGAACACTCGTAATAATGATATAAACAACATATAAAACTTCCAGTATAGAGTTACTGTTTGTCACTTCCTGTCAAATTGGGAAAGATCCATCACTTTTGTAATAAAATATGTTGTCAGACGTCCATGTTTATAAACAGTTGCATGGCTACCATCGGAAAATATTGTGATGTTCCGGTATATTCCGGGAAAATGACGTGATATTTCGTGTTATTCCGGCATATTCCGGCATATTCCGTGATATTCTGGCATATTCCGTGACATTCCGCCATATTCCGTGATATTCCGGCATTCCGGGTTTTCACAACGCCCCTCGTGTTGTTGGCACAATGTATGTTTGTGAAAAAATGAAAAAAAAAGATAAAAAGAAGAAAAATAAAGATAAAAAACCTGTATATGTATAACTGTGAACCTAAGGAAATAAATGTAGGCGTAGACTTGTTGAACATAAAAGTGGAGATGCAAATGTAAAATTGTAACGGTAAAATATCCTGTGGTGTGAAAATGTTTTTGATCAAACCCAAAAGGTATGATCGCGCTGTACTAAAAAGCTTGTATGGAGGCATGTCAATTATAAAGAGCGAAAGGAGAAAATCATGTGTGTAAAATTCAGTATCCCTGTACGCGGCGTTTCGTTCTTAATGGACTCGTCAGCAGGGATTGGGGTTGGCACATGTGAGAAAGACAGAATTAGAAGCCGATATGAAATTCAAGGAGAAATTAAAAACATAGCACTATATGTGTATAACTATTGTATAGTATAAAATGTCTTACCAAATTCGCTGTTATATTTAGTTAAACCAACACGTTGGGCCATGGTTGTGTAAATTGTTTACTGCCGTGTAGCACAGGGAAAATCTTCGTGAGATGAGAATGAACCTTGTAAAAAGCTTGTGCGCTTGTAGAGCTCGTCTTTCGTTACGTAAAGTAAGCAGAAAGGGCCGAGAAATTGTAATTCAGCTGTATATACTAAAACTGTCTGTACCAGTGTAGGTAGTACCATTCTGAAAATGCTGTGCTGAATGGTTATATTACTACCTTAAAAATAAGCAGAACTTGACGTTTCGAGCGAAGGCCTTTCGTCAAGAGTTAGAACGAAGGGCCTTCGCTCGAAACGTCGAGTTTCTGCTTATTTTTTAATTCAGCTGTATACAATGCGTGTTAGGACATGCGCAGTTGGTGAGATGTACATTTGGGTGTTGTGTGGATAGTAGCGGTTCTGAGGGAGCATTTTTGGAAACTGTGAACTTACCCGGGTCTGTTTACTTCATGTAATACTTCATGTAGTGTTTGTGAACTTAGCACTATATATTAAATATTTTACGTTGAAATTGTTATATATCGTGTTGGTGTGTAAAGGTGTAGTGAAAGGGGAATTATGGAGTAATATGACGTTAGAAGGTAAAGTATTTGGGGATTTGGTTTTAAAAATAGTTTGGCATTGGGGAGGGGGGAGGGGGGGGGATTGTCCGGGGTAAATTAACTGTGATCAAGGGCCTGAATGTTTTATTGAATTGTTTAGGGACTGGATGTGTGTTAGTAGCTTGATGTATAACAGTCCTGTGTAAAGCCGGTTTTCCACTAGACGGAATTTTGCGCGCGGAGCGGAATCTTTCTTTGTCTTTTCTAATTAGTTCCACCCGAGAAATCACAAGACAAAGAAAAATTCCGCTCCGCGCGCAAAATTCCACCTAGTGGAAAACCGGCTTAACTGAATGTTTATACTGATTAACGTAGTATGCACATATAGTTACCTCTACCCGGCTAAGCTAGAGACACTGACCCACAGACCATCAAAGAGACAAAATATGCCGGTAAAATTTGTTTAATAAAGATGTAACAGAATCTAAGTAATATGTACAAAAGAGTGAAATATGTACAATCATGTAGATTATCTAATTGTGGTTAATTTGAAACCATCCTGTGAAATAGTACATTATTATTGATGTGTCAGTAGATATTACAAGTATAATAGTGATATGCCTAATGGTTTTGCTATTAAAAAAGTGAGTGGTTAATTAATGACAATGTAAAGCAAAAGAATTTTTTTGTAGTTGTAGTAAACGGACTGATAAATAATGGAGGTATATATTAAATGTATACCAATGGGGAGTTCTAAATATAAAGTGATTGATATAGTAATTTCTCAATGGTTTCCATATACCAATATGTTGATGGTGATATTTATATTATTATTAATCGTGATGTGGCACAAAAATTATTTAATGTGTGTTTGAGAGTTATTATCTAGAAACATTCTTCTTTATCTTGTAATAGTTAGCCCATGGCTATAATGTCAGATGTAATATTCTATAAGTGTTCATCCAAATGGGTTCCCAGTCTTCAAAAGTTCAAATGTATGCCAGATGGATTAGTATTGTTGTCTTGTTTAGCCGTTCATCTGCTTAGCTTGAGGTGAATAATCCTATGCTTGCCAGTTGAGTTATATGGATAACTTGTGTTTGCAATCGAGTTTGTGTCATTCTTCGGGTGGTGGTATTGGAAAGGGGTTTTGGGTGGTCATTAAATCAGATGATCCCCCCGGCTGATGGTGTATCAGTTTAGTTAAGTTATTCGTTCTGTTAGGTTTTGTTACTTTAATGTAGTTTTGCTGAAACCAATGTGTCGCTGAGGCTTTTGTTTTTTTGATATGCTACAATTGGAGGTTCTGGCCATAGAATTCGCAATGTAGGATCATTTTCAATGACGTTCCAGTGTTTACGTAGTATTTGTGCAATGTATTTCGTATTACTATTGTATTGAGTTGTGAATATTGGTTTGTTAGTTGTTTTGTTTGCATTTTCTGTTTTATTAAGTAATTCATTCTGTGTGTATAGTATTGCTTTGTTAAAAGATGTGATAATGTTGATCAGTAGTTCCCGTTGAGGTTAAAAGCATCAAACTTTTACAATTGATGTAGTTTTATTTGCTTGATAGATATTTGAAGTGGGGCCATCGCTATTTTGCTGCTAACTCCTGAAAACGGGTGATTAGTGATTTTCTTCTATTGAATTCTATTATAGCCAAAACATGTAAAATTTTGTATTCAATTACAACAAATATGACTTGCATCATCAGAAAGCTTATAAAAAACTGCATATATGACATTTCGACAGTTTTTTGATTTCTGAAATAGTTTTCGAATTATACACTGTTAAAAACGCATTTTCAAACATCGAATAATTAATTAGGGACTTTTAGCGAGATAATGTGCCTAATTTACAGCAATAACCATTTGAAGAATAAAAAACTGTTTTTAAACAGACTTTAAAAAGTCTTTTATGTAGTTTTTTACAAGCTTTCTGATGATGCAAGTTATATTTGTCGCGATTGAATTCAAAATTTCACATTTTTTGTTGTAGTAGAATTTAATAGCAAATAATGCTAATAGCATCGTAACTCTCTAAAAAAAACAGTTTCACGATGGCCCCACTTTTGCATGTTGTTCTACTCATAAAAATATGCTACTGTGCACAATTTGGTGCTTTTAACCCTCTTCGGAAACATCCATGCACATATCCATCCGCCACACTATGACTGATTTGTATGAGTATGTGTAGTCAAATTTAATTGTGGGATGGAAGTTATTAATGTATGATAGGAATTTCTGTAGTTTTTCAATGCCATGCGTCCAAATTGCAAATATGTCATCTATGAATCTTATCCATTCAATTGGTATAAGACCCTGTGGTGCTTCATTGAGAAGCTTCCGTTCTAATATTGCCATAAATATGTTAGCATAAGTGAGTGCCATAGGTGATCCCATAGCAGTGCCATGAATTTGTAGAAAATGTTCATTGTTAAATGTAAAGGAGTTTTTGTTGAGTATGAGGGATAATTTATTAGTAACTGATTGTTTTAGTTCGGGAGTTATAATATTGTTTTCATTCAACATATCTACACAGGCTTGGATGCCCTGATCATTAGGCATGTTGGTATAGAGACTCTTAACATCAAATGTGATAAGTATGATATTGTCCGGTAAGTCCTGATTTAGTGAAAAAATTCTGCGGAGAAAATCTGTTGTGTCTTGTACATATGATGGTATATGTTTCAGGAGTGGTTTGAGGAGGTGGTCAGCATATTGAGAGAGCTTGACAGTCGGTCCTCCACAGCCTGAAATTATTGGTCTACCTGGATTGTCCTGTTTGTAAATTTTTGGTAAAAGATAGAGTTGTGGTGTCCTTGCTTGATTATCTATTGTTAGAAATTTGTGTGTTGTGTTGTCAATTATGTCTGATGTGTGGAGTCAAGATTGGCAATTCTTTTAGTTTCTGCTAATGTCTCAAGGGTTGGGTCATATGTGAGTTTTTGATAATGATTTGAGTAATTTAATTGTCTATATGCTTTGTTTTGTTTTGTTTTGTTTTGTTTTAAATACTTTATTGGATAGTGACTAAACGGTAGGAGTGCAAACGGAACTCGAGGTCCCTCCGATTAAAGATACAACAACAAACAATACATATAGAATAAAATATACATAACTACAGTAATAAATAAACATATACCATCAATTCGAAAAAACAAACTAAGATTATTAATGATGCTTAAGAATTTAGTGATAGCAACAATACTTTGAAATGGCAGCATGAGCTCCACCCCCCGAATTCATCACATGAGCAAATTCCCAAACACGCCCGAACTCAACACCATGACGGATCCGCGGCACACTTCGGGTTTGTCATAAAATAAATAAATTCGCGGCACCTAACACTAACCTCAACCCTAACCGCTAACCACTAACCCTAATTTTTTTTAAGTTTTTTGAAAATATTAAAACTTTTTTGTGTTTTTTTTTAAATCTTTTTAAAAAACTTTTTTGTTGAAAATCCCGAAGAACTCTCAACTCCCGCGCAACCAGCCTCCCTTTTAGTGCCATTACATTTATAACAAGAAGTCTTTTTTAATGCTTGTGGTTTTATGATTAACTCTATTGATAAATTCAAAATGCACCGCGAACCCACCACAATCATAAACCCGGACGCGCCCAAGAATCCACTCGTAGAGCAAATTCAAAGGTGGAGCCCATGCTGGAGATGGTGTGCGGAACAATTAATATAAGAATTGAAAATAATCAGGCAATAGCATATGTTTATCTCACACGTTAAACTCTATGACATGAGCAAGTTCGATGTAATGACCATGTACAGGCCATGTCTACGTCGTAACAAGAGATTAATAAGTGTAAATATGTTCTTGATAAAAACGATCTGAACATAGTTAGGCTACTTAAGTCTGAAGGTCTAGCAGTTCTACACATACGGTTCCAAAGGGAACGATACGATTAAAGTACGATGACTGGAATGTACTTGTTTTTCACAAAGGTACTTTGAGCATTAGGCTAGGATTTACACAATTACGGGTACGGCTGTGGCCTACGAATGACACGTAATCACAAACATTCAAATCATAATATCCGTACATAGCTTTAAAAAAGAATGTTAAGTCCTTTATCTCTCTATCGTAAGATAGCGGCAGAAGATTAAGGGCCAACAAACGATCTTTTTACGAGAGCTCTCCTATCTTTACTTGAAGGATTTATCGTGTGGCACGCCTTTGAATCCTCTCTAGGTAAGTTTTGTTGGTGAACTGAGACGGTGACCAGACTTCCGTAGCATAACCCAGTTGGGATTTCACTAGTGATAAGTATAATGTCCTTCGATCGAGCAACACGATCTGTTAACAAGGGGCACGTTCTCCGTAATAAACCCAGCACTTTATTTGCCTTGGATACTATTTGGGTGATGTGCTGATTCCAAGATAACTTTCTTGTCACTGTAATTCCAAGGTCAACCTCACTATCTACACGCACCAGTTCAGTTGAACCAAGGTGGTACTTTGTTTCAATCGGGCTTTTTCGGCGGGATATTGTTAGAACTTTCACTTAGATGCGTTGAAGTCAATATTGGATTGCTTGCTCCAATCGTCAGCGAGCGACAAATATTCCTGTAGAAGGTCACAATCCTGGCGTGCTCTTATTGCTTTGTACAGCTTTGTATCGTCGGCATACAGACCGGTTGATGTTGATGGAGGAATGCATGATGTCAGGGAGGTCATTGATAAAAAGAAGGAACAGCATAGGCCCTAAGATACTACCCTGAGGAACACCGGAGGTAACTTGAGACCATTCAGAAGTTGCACCATCGACAACGACACGCTGAGTACGACCACGCAGATAATCAGTAAACCAATTGTACTTGTTGCCTGAGATACCGTAAGATTTCAGTTTCTTCAATAAAATAGTATGATCAACGGAATCAAAGGCTTTAGCAAAGTCAAGAAAAAGAATGTCTGTCTGAACGTTACTGTCAAGCAATTGTCCAATATGATGTAAGGCGGTTAGAAGTTGTGTGACACATGAGCGACCGTGAAGGAATCCGTGTTGCGATTTATTAATCATATCCTGAACATGTTCAAAGAAACGATGACAGACGCATCGCTCCAAGACTTTGCTGATGATGGAAAGCAGGGATATAAGTTGGTAGTTGGTAGCGGGTTCCTTCTTGGGATCGGGGCTGTGAAATTTGTTGCCAGTTTAAATGGGTGTCTGTTTGTGTTGTGCCTGAAGAAATACCTGTTGTACATATTTTTTCTGTATTTTAAGAAAGAGTTATAAATTTGCTTGTATGGTGCCGGTTTGGGGGAAGGGATGTAAGACAAGCCTTTGGATAGTGCTATTAGTGTGGCCATGGAGTTAGGGATATTTTTAACTGATAGATTAGTAACTGCCTTATATTGTAGGTTGTTGTGCATTTTTTGTGTAATTTGTTTTTGCTGAGGTGTCTGTTATGATTGGTGTTGCGTGGTGTTTTCATGAACTTGAGCATAGTCTTTTGTTGTATTTATTAGTATTCATGTGTGCAGGGCGTGTTATTTCTGGTCATGCATTGCGTTATTTTTGAAGTTTGTGTGTTTGGTTTAGCAGAAAATAATGTATCTGTGATTGTACGTTTTTGGGTTATGTTGTGTGGAATGTTGCTTGTTTGTGTGCTATGTTGTGGGTTTTGTAAGATGTATTGCCAGTTGTGAGTGTTAGTAAGTGTTGGTGTCCTGTTATGTTGTTGCACATTATTGGTCTTATTGGTCATTGGTTGTTGTGTATTGTAGGTTGGTTGTGAGCGTGGTGGTATTCGTAGTTTTGGTGTTTGAGGATTGGTTTAAGATTAACGTTTACGGCCTGAACCGCTAACCCCAAACGGCAAACTTCAAATCGTAATTTGAAGTCAACTGTTAGCTATTCGAAGTTAGAGCAACTTGTGCATAAAAATTGGACTATACCGGTGTCCCAAAAAACAAGCTATAAAAGCTAACGCAATGAAATGAAGATCATCGCATTCATAATGGACTAACTTTTGATTAGATTTTGATTAGCAACGATGTTGAGTGAGTGGTCATCATAGATGGTGGTCATCCTCACTGATCTCAAAAATATGGCCGATTGCTTGTAGGAGTGAGATGAGCAAGATTTCAATTCTAAAAGACATATATTTGGAAAATCGTTTCATACACAACAAGCTTGAAGCAATTTTGTTTGAAGAAAGATTTACTATTGGAAATCGTGAAATATACGGCAAGTTTGCTTTGAATATTTAATGTTTTATAGTATGTTTACGAATTTTGTTGCTTTAACTTTTTGCCTAAAAACATGAACTGTTTTCCTTTTCAACGAAGCTCTAAGTTTCATAAATTACCGTTTAATTGGAGAGAAAATCTTAAAATGTAAAAGAGAAGAAATTCGGGTTTGAAGATTGAAAAGGAATTACCTAACAATTTGTTTTATTTGTAACTTACTATGTTTTATTAATTTACTAAGTTTATCGGCAAATGAACTATTCTCTATAGTTGAATGAACATTTCAAAACATTTTACGAAGCGTTTCAAGTTAAATTTTACATTAAATCAAAGCTCACAAAATGCAAAATAATATACCTACAGTATATATTTCGGAAATTTATTGTTGTATAGTTAAAAGTACGAATCTTTCAACTATTTTGCAGTTTTGTACAAAAAATATGAAAAAATTAAAAATTTAAAAATATCGTGTTGTTACAGGGTTGGCAAATGTTCTTATATTAGTTGTTCTTATATGTTCTTATATTATATAAGAATATCTTTTTGGGAGGCAAAAATGTTCTTATATTTTCTTATATTATTCTCATTAATTATTCTACTCATTCATCCTGAAAATAAAATATACAGATAATAGTCGTATAAATACTGCAGTGATAACTATTTTTATTATTTTGAAAGCCAAGACGTTACAGCAACATCTAAAATTGAAGTTGAATCGTCATTTTCGGATTTTGGATGACATGTTAATATGACGTCATCAAAGTTTTTGAAAATGTTCTTATATTGCAAAAAATGTTCTTATATTAATATAAGAAACAAGAACATTTTATTCAGTTTGAAAAAATGTTCTTATATCCAACAACATGGCAACACTTGAACGCGAGCCTGCGTTCAGTGGGCCATTTCTGAATATTTCATGTTAATTTAATGTTTGAAAAATATTGGCAAGGGGTTACTGCATGCATGTATTTCTAGTATGGTTCTTACAACTGTTCCAGTCTTCATTATATGGAACGACTTCATTAGACTGCACACATTTCAAAACAGAAAGTGGTCGCAAAATGTCCATCGCCTCACAAGTTGCGAAATGCAAATCTATCTTAATATATCGGGTGTCCCAAAAAACCCGGACACTGTTTGATTTCATGTAACGTAAAAGCTATAAAAGCGATAATGCATTCAGAAATGACTAACTTCGATTTTGACTGTATAGCACCTAAATTTACATGCAATATTCTATATTCACTGCGCTATTGATGTTTGAACGTTGAACTACTGTTTTTGAAAATGCCAAAAATTAGCATGAAACAACACTTATAATAATATTAAGTACTGATGTAGTTATAATTGTTAAATAATAAACATTTTTAATTTGGTTGTATCTCGCACAATATATTGCATGTAAATTTATTATAAAATTTATTATAAAGCGTTTTATATATCAAAATCTAAGTTAGTCCATTATGAATGCAATGATCTTTATTTCATTGCGAGAGCTTTTATAGCTTTTGCATTACATGAAATCAGAGTCCGGTATTTTTTGGGACACCGGTATAAAATTTGATAATATTTTAAGATTGACCTTTATGGCAGAAAAGGTCAATCTTTAGTCCTTTATTAGCTAAAAGTAGCTAATTCATAGTCCAATTTTTATGCACAAGTTGCTCTAACTTCGAACAGCTAACAGTTGACTTCAAATTACGATTTGAAGTTTGCGGTTAGAGGTTTGCCGTAAACGTCAATCTTAAAGTCCTTAATATATATTATTTGTTGGCTGAAATAAAACGCATTGAACCATGATTGAACGAAACGCGATCCAAATGATAATTTAATTTGTTTGGGATCAGATTAACCGTAACTTGTTTACATTTTTCAAACGTTGGGGCTTAACTCGAATAACAAAATGTTTGACTTTGCTCGAGTTAAGCTCCTATTTTCTGGAGGGCTTATCTCGAAGTACCTAACTCCAGCTATGTACTTCGAGTTAAGCCCTCAACGGAAATAAGTGTGGCATGGGCGTGGTCGGGGCTTAACTCGAAAGGGCGTGGTCGGAACTTAACTCGAAGGGCTTAACTCGAGGGGCTTAACTCGAAGTTTTGCTACCCTCCTCCCCCCCCCCATGTCACCCCCGGGCCTTCGCAGCTTTCCTAATCTCGGGGGTGGGGTTATTGCTGAAATTTGTATATATATATATATATATATATGGTTGTTTTTCGTTGAAAGACGTGTGAGTGCTCAATACTACTGATAAACAGTAAGAGTGCTCAATACTACTGATAAACAGTAAGAGTGCTCAATACTACTGATAAACAGTACAGTAGAGCTATGTAATTAACGTTACAAATATCTTAAAATAACATGTTTTTTCGTTTTTTTTAGCGAAAAAACATGTTATTTTAAGATATTTGTAACGTTAAAACTCCGCAACAGTCTGTTTCATCAGCGATGTAAGCGATGTAAGCGAAATTCTACATTTGCTCTATCTTTATGATATTGAGGTAAGCGAAATTCTACATTTGCTCTATCTTTATGATATTGAGCACTCTTTGCGTTTCGCATACACAAACCTACTCGTATATATATATATATATATATATATATATATATATATATATATATATATATATATATATATATATATATATATATATATATATATATATATATGCTTTGCAGGCAAATGTTTGCACAAGATTTCAGTTTTAAAATACATTTATTTCTTCAAAACGTTTTACAAAGTTTAGTAAGGTCTACTTCTGAGAGCATAACGTTTTGGTGTTTTTGTTATTTTTAAAGAGTTTTCGTACTCTTGTCTGTCTTCAGGTGATAATCTTGCAACATCTTCATGCTTCAATATATTTCGGTCTTTCGTTTAGTAAAAAACGTTCATAACGCTCTCTTTCCTTCGGTTTCATCATAGCCAAGTCACTTTCTTTCCAACCAGCAGAATCTACCCAATTGTGAACAGGAGCTTCGTGATAGTGAGCCGGGACATCCATCTTTTTTTTGAATATGAGAAATCGATTTAGTTGATCAGAGTATAATTTGCTTTTTTCCACCACAGAAAGCTGTGGTCGCTGTTTAGCGTCATACATTGCATTTACAAGTGGTGGTTGTCGATATGATTGTTTTTGTATAAACTTTGCAATCTCACCGGGAAGTATATTCGTCTTAAGTCGTTGTTGATCGTCTCTTGTTGGCTTTAAATCCGACATCGACAACCCAGATCACTTGGACATACCTCAACGGAATTTAACAAGGGTGGGTTGACTACAAAATTGTTGTAGTTCGCTATAACTACAGCAGCTACTTCAAAAATATGTAGTCAGCTACAACTACTGCTACTTTTGAACAAAGGTAGTTCGCTACTGACTACAGCTACTGCTTAAAAAATGTAGCGAACTATTTCGCTATTTCGCTGCACGCTATATTTTTTAGTTTTACTGTGTTTTGAGGAATTGGAGCATCTACTAACTCAGGTAATGTAACCTATAACAAATCGACTTACTACGAGTAGCAACAGTAAACACAAAGCAACATTTTTGTAAGCACTACTGACAGTGTTCGGGAGTGCAAATTGACTACTGAGGATTGACTTTATAAGCAAACCGTTGTCTCAATATTTTGCTATTCTATCAAGTTGTACAGTTTTAAAAAGTAGCGAATAGATAGATAGATAGATAGATAATCTGTTTATTAAAAAACACCTAGCAGCCATGCATAGAGCTGAATTACGTGATTCTTATACAAAGTGTTTAAAACAATTACAAAAATTCCTAATTTAATATTATAAAAAGTATCTCTTAACTATTAGTTCTGTATTATAAA